GTCACCGCGGTGGCACCGGACGCTTGGGCTGGCAGCGAGGTGAGCGGGGTGACGAGGGGCGACGTGGGTGACGCGGGGTGGCACCACAGGGTGAGCTGGGGGAGGTCACGGTCCCCGGGGATGGGACAGGGGACCCGAGGGTGGCACTGACCCTGGGGACAGGTCCTGGGGTGGCACAGCCTTGAGAGGACAAGTCCTGGGGTGTCACAAGCCCAGGGGACATCCCGGGGACCCAAAAAGGTGTCACAGCCTCTGGGGACACGGTGGGGACCCAAAGGGAGTCACAGGCTCAAAGGACCCATCCTAGGGTGTCACAGACCTGAGGGGACACGGTGGGGACACCAAGGGTGTCACAGTCCCTGGGGACAGGTCCTGGGGTGTCACAAGCACAAGGGACATCCCGGGGACCCAAAAAGGTGTCACAGCCTCTGGGGACACGGTGGGGACCCAAAGGGAGTCACAGGCTCAAAGGACCCATCCTAGGGTGTCACAGACCTGAGGGGACACGGTGGGGACACCAAGGGTGTCACAGTCCCTGGGGACAGGTCCTGGGGTGTCACAAGCACAAGGGACATCCCGGGGACCCAAAAAGGTGTCACAGCCTCTGGGGACACGGTGGGGACCCAAAGGGAGTCACAGGCTCAAAGGACCCATCCTAGGGTGTCACAGACCTGAGGGGACACGGTGGGGACACCAAGGGTGTCACAGTCCCTGGGGACAGGTCCTGGGGTGTCACAAGCACAAGGGACATCCCGGGGACCCAAAAAGGTGTCACAGCCTCTGGGGACCCATCCTTGGGTGTCACAGACCTGAGGGGACACGGTGGGGACACCAAGGGTGTCACAGTCCCTGGGGACAGGTCCTGGGGTGTCACAAGCACAAGGGACATCCCGGGGACCCAAAAAGGTGTCACAGCCTCTGGGGACACGGTGGGGACCCAAAGGGAGTCACAGGCTCAAAGGACCCATCCTAGGGTGTCACAGACCTGAGGGGACACGGTGGGGAAAGGGTGTCACAGCCCCTGGGGACAGGTCCTGGGGTGGCACAGCCCCTGGGGACAAGTCCTGGAGTGTCACAAGCCCAACGGACCCACCCCAGGGTGTCACAGCCCCTGGGGACATGGTGGGGACCCAAAGGGTGTCACAGCCTCTGGGGACTCGTCCTGGGGTGTCACAGCCCTGAGGGGACACAGTGGGGTGGCAACACAAAGGGTGTCACAAGCCTAAGGGACACAGCCCAGGATGTCACAGCCCTGAGGGGGGACAAGTCCTGGGGTGTCACAAGCCCAAGGGACCCATCCTGGGGTGTCACAGCCCCTGGGGACATTGTGGGGACCCAAAAGGGTGTCACAGACTCTGGGGACCCATCCTGGGGTGTCACAAGCCCAAGGGACACACCCCAGGGTGTCACAGCCCCTGGGGACACGATGGGGACACAAAGGGTGTCACAGCCCTGAGGGGACAGATCCTGGGGTGTCACAGCCCTGAGGGGACACGGTGGGGACCCAAAGGGTGTCACAGCCCTGGGGACATGCTCCAAGGTGTCCCAGACCCAGGGGACACGTCCCAGGGGTGCCACAACCCCACAGGACACAGCAAGGTCCCCAAAAGCTGTCACCTCCCCCCCCGAGCACGTGCCAGGGTCCCCCGGGGTGTCACAGCCCCCGGGGTGCCACCAGGTC